GTTCTCCAGATTTCTTGGCACAACTTGGTGAGCACGTCCAGGGCAGCATCTGTTAACTGAAATATGTCAATTGGTATACCATCTATTCCTGGAGCCTTATGGTATAGACTAGAAAATGTTCATTGTCACAGGCTGAAAATGGTCACCCACTCTGCCAGACAGTGAAGAAGGATACATACTTCAATAGGAACTAAAGATTGTAAAATTCATACCTGGTTGACAAAAGGAATTACATGTGGGATATATGGGAAATGTAAGTTTGGCTGGGATAAGAGTACAACATAAGTGGGCTTGCATGATTAGCTAAAGGCCCACACTATTCGATTTATTATAGGATGATCCCAGGACCTGCAGGGCTGTATCCTCTCTCTATAACTATTCAATTTGTATGCAGAACAAATCATTAGAGATGCTGGATTATATGAAGGAAAATGTGTCATCACGATTGGAGGAACATCAACAACCTGCAATGCAGATGACAGATCCTTGCTTGCTCAAAGTGAGGAGGACTAGCAACATTTACTACAGAGGATCAAGGACTACAGCCTTCAGTATGGGTTACATCTCAACATCAAGAAAACAAAAAAGCTCACCACTGTGCCAAAAGACAATAGCATGAAAGATGCAAAGAGATAGAAATTGTTAACAACTGCATCTTGCTTGGACCCACAATCAACACCCTTAGTACCAGCAGCCAGAAAATCAAAAGACGCATTGCACTGGAAAGTTTCCTGTAAGTGACTTGTCCATAGTGTTTAAGAGCAAACATGTCAGTTTGAAGAAAAAGGTGTACCTGATTCAAACTTATGATCTTTTCAATTACTTGCTATGTATCAGAAAGATGGAGAATGACTAAAGACAACAGAAAAATTGATGTCTTGGAGTCGCGGTGCTGGAGAAGAATACTGAATATCCCATGGACTGTCAAATGAACTAATAGTTGTTCCTTGGAGGCAAAGATGACAAAACATCTCTCTTACTTTAGACATAGTGCTAGGAGAAACTATTTCTAGGAAAGCTTGGAAAGGTAGAGGGGCAGCTAAAGAACGGAAGGCTCTCAACAAAGTGGACTGAAAACCAAGTGGAGTGACTGCAATGGGTTGAAAAGAGTGTCAGGGATTATGGATGGCTAGAACAGGGTTCAAATCTGTTGTTCATAGGGCCGCCATGAGTCATACTCAACCTAACAGTACCTAACATTTCCTTATCTAAATCTCTATGCATTCCAAGTAATGCTAAACACTCTTCTTTTCCCCCTATTTAATTTTAATAACATTTTAATATTAAACCTAGTGTAAAAGATAAACATGTAGTGAATAAGAGGACTGTGAGGATGTTTCTTAAAATGACAATTTAATACAAAAGTAATTCTTTGAAGCTATAGCTTTCACCAACAAAATCACCCGATATGCATGGAAAAGTTGCACGGTGAAAAAGAAAATAGAAGAATCAAGGCATTCAAACTGGTGTTGGCAAAGAGAACTGAATATGATGCTGAGTGAAATGTTATCAGTCACGAAAGGACAAGTACTGCATAACACCAGTGTTATAAAGTAGGACTACCATAGGAGATTGTGGAAGGAGGAGTGGCATCCACTTCCATAATAGCTTGCCTCCGGAAACCCTATGAACCTGGGGAGAGGATGAAAGGCACCCAAGCGTCAAGGACTCTCCTTCATAGGGTCGCTATGAGTCGCCTGCGACTCGTCGGCACTTAACAACAACAACAACAACATAGGAGATTGGGAGGAGAATAGGAAAGGAGTGTAAAGATAATCAACACTGCATTGGAACACATAAAAGAAAAAACTACTTAAAAAGAATATATGATCAGGCATTATATGTATGACAACAGTTCATAATAAGAGGTACATTGCAAAGTGGACTAAGGAAGGGAGGGGAAAGAAAATTGTACAACAATGAATTGTTTTTTCATTTTTGAAAAATTTATTATTAATTTCAATGAAAATTTCCAGAGACTTTGGATTTCCATTCATTCATTGTTGCACTTTCCCCCCCTCCCAACCCTGCCCCCTAGTGCACTACCCTCTTGGAAAAGTAAAAGAAAAATTATTTCATTGTTTACAATCCATCCCCTCATAAACACTCTTCTAAGCCTCCAAATGGACCAGGAATTATGCAACGGCAGGGGGCAATTTCCAGCTGCCTTGCCTGCGGCCCGCCGCCCAGTGTCACTGTTTCGGGGTGACTTTGCCCGGGAGCAGAAAGCAGTGACCATGCTGACGGCTGCGGCCTCCAGACCTGGGGCAAGGTCTCACCGAAGAACGTTGCCCGGACTTCGCTCTCTAGGGAAGAAGAAGAGAGCGTAGGACCGGGGCAGGCGGGATGGCGAGGGGCGGTTTCCGAGCGTCCCTGCGCGGGGGAGGTGTACAAGATGGCGACGCCTCAGCGGGCACTTCCCGCCTGGACGGTAGAGACGCCAGGAAGACACAGGACCTGACTCGGAAGTGCCTTCTGGCGGCCTGGAGGTCAGTGGTCACTCTGGGATCAGGCTGAGCAGCACCGGGTTCTGCAGTGCGCATGCCCGCCCGGACCTCGGAGGTGCAGGGAAGACACGGGGCCTGACCCTGAAGTGCCATCAAAGTCGTCCCGGCGCTGCACCGTCACTCCGGGCTCGGCTGATCAGCACCCGGTTCTGCAGTGGACACACCCGCCCGGACCTCGGAGGACACGGGGTTTGACCCGGAAGTGCCTTTGGGCCGACCTGGCGGTGCACCATCCCCGGGCTCGGAGAGGGGAGCGGCCGGCAGCGTCCTCCTCTCCGAGCCGCTCCTGGGGGCGCGTCCCGTGCGGCAGCGACCTCACGTGGGGCGCGAGGCGAGGTGCCGTGGACCTTGCCCTGTTCAGCCAGTCTGCGGGCAAGAAGCGTAGCGACAGATGAAGATGGACGGGCCTCTAAGTCCCAGAGAGTCGGCACGATTCGTGGCCGAGAACAGTGAGGACGTGTCCATCGACGACGCGGGCGTGCGAAGCGTGGCGCAGCTGCTGCTGGCCAGGGCGGGCGGGCCGGAGCTGCGCGTGGGCGCCTGGAGGGCTCTGCACGAGCTCAACCCCCGCGCGGCCGACGAGGCGGCGCTCAGCTGGGTGTTCCTCACCGACACGCTCAATTTCTCTTTCTGGTCGA